ATAGTAAGAGAGGTGGTTGCTCAGGCTTGCTCCTTTGATATAATGTGTTTAATTTTAAAGCAGTTTGCAGGTACAAGAACATGTACATGTACATTATACATTGTTTACATGTATGCATGTGAGCTTACTTGATTTACATGAACATGACACTATACATCTAAATGTAGGTACATATGAGTGCTGATGTAGAGGAATGGCTATTGCTATTATTATTATCGACTAAATCAACAATACAACAATTACTGCTGCAGTCAATGGACTCTGATCTACCCTCATTAGAAGAACTGGTTTTATGTCAACTGTCACAAGTTGCTTGCATTAGCCTACATCATCAGTGGACAAAAGACTCTGAACAGGTAAAAAAGTTGTTTAGATGTTTAAGTATTTTGCTTGGGCTAATTTCAATAAGATGGAAATACATGTACATGTACATGTACATGTAGTTTGTAAGATGTACATGTACCTGAAAGAATGAGAGCCTCTAAAGAGAAAATACTGTACATGTATTTTATCATCATTTAGGCTCTTGCTAGCTGTAGATATGATAGGAGGGCATTACCTGGCCTCAGATCCAAGTTCAATAATACAGTTGTAATGAAGTTAAGTTTATTGATAATGAGGCAGTCATGGAAGCATTCTGATGAACCAGTGACACCTTTACACCAGAGGAAATTGGAATCACTAATGACTGTATGTTGTATGCTGATATGCAGTATGTCTACATCGACATGTATCATGGACATGTAGATGTACATTTACAATTTTTATGTACATGTTCGGACTTGTGTATTGTATACTGTATGTTGTAATGGTCTTTAGGATCACTGTGTTCATTCTTTCTATTTTTTTACATGTATTTGAAGTTGTCACTATGGTTACGGGATATGACAGATGATTTGTGTCAGAGGAAGATCAGAGATGCCATGGACTTTGAATGGATCAGATTTCCAAGACTATTGATACACATGTCTAGTATGTATAACTTGTACATGTACAATGTATACATGTACCATATGTAGAGCTGAGTGGTATTGGTGAATTTCCCTCGATAGCCAAATACATTGTATCTTTTAGTTTAACAAAATGTACTATACGTGTACCTTAGCAAAAATAGAAAAAGAATTTGGGGTACATTTCAGGATACTGTAGTTTATATTAAAGTGGTATTTATAAAATACAATATGAAATTCAGATGATTCAGGGTATCACCACTTATTAAGCTAGTACTGATGATGAATTTGTTTTTACATTACTAAAGCTACAATCCTGAACTCTAGCCTCAAGGTTAGCCTTTAGGCATAGTGATTGCTACTTTGGATGTTTTAAATTTAATTAATGGTATATAAAAGTATCTGTTATGGGTTCTCTTCCTAAGCTATCCTGTCCTGACTCTTTTTTGTCTCATAAGTTATTGTTTTTTTTGCTTAATTTTCCATTTTTGTGTTTTTACTTCTTTTCCCTCCTGTCCTTTCTTCTCCTTTCTACCTCTCTCTCTTTCCTTCTCCTTAATATTATTATTGTTATTAATGTATTGTTATAATTTTACTTTTAATTAATTTTATTGTTATATTATTATTATTATTATTATTATTATTATTATTATTATTATTATTATTATTATTATTATTATTATTATTATGATTGTAATTATTATTATTATCATCATCATCATTTATTATTATTATTATTATTTTGTGTTATTGTTATTATTATTATTGTACTGTTATTATTATTGTAACTGTTATTATTATTATTATTATTATTATTATTATTATTATTATTATTATTATTATAAAGGAATTAAATGCATTATTGTATTGTATTCCAATTAAACCACCATTTAATTTGTTATACATGTACTTCTCAGCTCTATCTATACATGTATGCATATACAATGTATAATGTTGTACTGGAGTTCTAGCAATATTATCGTGAACATGCATGCATTTACATGTACATGTACTGTACATCACTTGTACACGATACAATTACATGTACATGTACATGTATGTATTTCAATGTACATTGTACATATAGGTTCTGGTGAGCAGGAGATAAAGTTACACATATTAGATGTTCAGTTGTCTTATTATAATGAATATCTTGGATGCAAAAGATTACCAATATTCACTCCCAGAACTAATAACTATATCATTTCATTGTCACAGGTAATTTTATAGATAAAATTTTATACATGTAGATGTCATGTGCAAGATGTTGAGTGATAAATATACATAGTAATGTTATGAACATGTCATACCGTAATTTGCCTTTTTTCGTACAAAATCTTTTGTTTCAACAAAATTCAAGTGGAAATATTTTCGTCTTTTCATAGTGTACGAAAATTTTTACAGTATGAAAATTTAGCTTCTCTTGCATGTACCTTGTCCTTTACCTACTGGTAACAAGGCTGCTACAGTAGTAATTACAGTTCTTGAGATATGAGCTTCTTGACCTGGCTGTTTCCCGACATTACTAGTATACGGAGAGTAATTGATGGTACTGGAGATGCAAGTAATGCCCAATTTACGGATAATAAACGGAAACATTAACTGGCTACTTTTGTCACATGGTGGACCATTTTGTTTTATTATAACTCAGTAATGAAGAGATAGATTAGCATCAATGGATAGAGCAAGGTTAGAGCTGCAATATGATACTATACTTATCAGGTCAAAAATTTTGGTTGCTAAAAAATTTTTTATTGATATATTTTTGTCATTTTAAGGCCATACGAAAATATTTTCACATCGAAAAAAAGGGCAATTAATTACAACTACAGATGTTGAGGGTTACTGGATATACACAAGGATGTTGATGTAGAAGCCTAGGCTTTCAAATCAACTAACATCGGAGTGTATATCCAGTAACACAAAACAGCTGTGGTTTGTCCGGTTTTGTGGGTATATGAAACAAGGCACTGTCATCTACTGTAAATTTGACAATGTTAGCGACTATTATAGTTAATGTTTTCAGAAAAGGCATTGTTTTAACGTCCATTTATGTTAACGAAAATGTATTCATCAAAAAATCAGTTATCAAAAACTCAGAAATTCCAACTGTATCAAAAGGTTTTTTAAGAGTTGCTTGTTTGTCAGACAATGTTGTAATAGCTGAAGTCACCCAATGGGCATGCAATGGCTTTATCACTGAAGCCCGAAGATCCACTTTAATATTACTGACAGACTGTCCTTCATCCATGGCTGCTCTTACATCATCAGAATGCCATCTTGAAAATGAGGCTTTCATTAACTGTTTGAAGTCTCCATTTATTCCTATATCCAACGGTTGCAGCTCTCTAGTGCAACTTGCAGGCACAAATATTTGATGGATATTGCTAGCTCTCAACTTTGACAAGACCTCATTAGAATGATGAGCAGCAAATACATCGAACAGAGCTAAAGCAGGGTGGTCATCTGCTAGTTCCATCTCCTGCCTATTTTCTACAACATAATGAATGAGGACTGTGTCAAGATATTCAATCATTGTTTCTGTTGTGCTCCAGTGACTCTCACTGTGGGTCACATTCCACTTAGTAGAAAAAGGTTATTTTTGGGTGACAACCAACAGTCTTGCCCTGGTAAATTAATTGAGGTGGAAGAAGGGTTCCTGAAGCTGTAACTGCCAATAAAACTGTGATTTCCCTTTTATCTTCCTTTCCTATTACTGGGACTTGAGATGAACCTTGTTCAGCCATGGTCCAACAGCTGACTGGAACCAACTTGGAACTCGTTTGGTCCCAATTAATTAATAACTTGGAAGGTATGTTATGAGTTGTGACTTCTTCTTTGATTCTCCTCAAAAAGGCAAGTTTTAGAGCAGGAAAATCAGGTGGGACTTTTCTTGCTGCCTTAGTAGCCTTCCTCTTGACAAAATTTCTACCATGTAGTATTGACTGAGCCCAATTTTTTCTAAGCTCTAGCGTGCCACTGTGCTCCTTCAGCAAGCTTGGATTCTTGTGTGATATGATACCTTTTGCTGCTACTACATGTATAACTATATTACAGTTCACTATCCCTCCTGCTTCATGTAGCTTCCTGATATACACAGCAACTGGGATCGTCTACATCCTTGCCAATCAATAATGGTCTCCCTAAAGAACTGTGAGGTAGGCTCGTGATAGCATCTGCGTCGGTAGTCCTTAACTGAGAGAGTTACTTGCTTTTGAAATTTCTTACTGTTGCATCAGAAATTTTATAGCCTAAATGAGTAGAAAACTTTCTAACTGCTGCTTTGTTGCCATTTTCAGAAACATATTTGACGATCTTCAAGCGAGTAGGACAGTCATAATGGTGGTATTCCCCTCTCTTCTGTTTGCTCTTTGCCATGGCATGAACGACTTTCCCGTTAGCGGAACTAGTGCTTTCATCTCCATCTGAAGTGTCAGGTAGGAAAGGTAAGCTGCTAATTGACAAGGGAGAACCAGTGGTAGAAACCAGCCAACAACGAATATTGGCAGACATTTCTTGATTCAGCACAACGTGTTCTTAGTGTTCTGCGCATACACAAATTGCATTAACCCACCATAAATATTAACGGATATTAACAGTAACAAAAAAGAGTCAATCTTAAATTCGTTGATATTAATGGTTTGTTAACTTTAACAGATTTACAGTAACTACCAGAATTGGCAGTTAGATGATGGCTTCTAACTACCACTGCTGTGGTTTCCACTGTATAAACTCATGGCAGTGCCTTTGATACACCCACACACTGTAGTACAAATTGCATGTTACACCATATAGTGGGTAATTTTGGAGGGAATTAAATTTGGCAAATTTGGCATTTTGATAGCCATTTGCCAAAATAAAACCCTGCCATTTTGAGCTATTATACGCATGCTCAATGGCACGTGGCCACAAATATGCCAAAATTAAAATCCGCCAATTACCAAAATTTAGCTATTTGCCCCCTCCAAAATTTACCCGCTATATGGTACATGTACAATGTACATGTACTGTACATGTTGATGCATTTTATGTTCATGCATGCTTTTAACATGTGTGTATATTAGTTTTATTGGATGTTTGAACCAATAGGCATTTCATAGTAATATTGGGAGTTGTGTTGTGTTACCACCAGGTGTTAATAATTCTGAACTTATTAAGGTAATTTTAATTAGTATTTTATATGCACTTAATTGTTATTATTCATGTACATGTACACATACATGTATGCATGTTATTCTGTTATTCTATTACTTTATTTTTAGGGAGTTGGTTATTTGGTAGGACAGTTTATTCCTACATTACAGTGTACTTCTTTGACTAGTCCTTCTGCAATAGTTACTTACCTCACTGGTATTGCACAGGTACTACATGTATTTCTGCATTACTACATTGCACTTATTACATGCATGGTGACTGATGTTTGATAATACCCTAGCAAATGCATGTAATGGCTATGAGTTACATGTACATGTACAGTGTACATGTACACGTGTATATTCTGAAGAAGATGATCGTTAATTATGTAAAGTTTTAGCAGATTTAGATAATATCTTTTATATTGCTAATTAATATGTAAATTTAAGTCTAACACACATGGTACTTTCAGTCTATCCACAACCGTCCAAAACCGTAAGAGATTTATCTGCAACTGAAGTAGGTATTAATTATTGAAATGGCTGTTAATGAGGAGGCCAGAAAGAAGGTCGGATGCCAGCTACCTATAACAGGAGATTCTGTTCCCAAACATGTTTAAATAGACTTCACTTTGTACAATTGTTTACTGTATGAGTAAGTTATCCTAGATAATAGTAACAGAAGTGATACTGGGAGAAATATGGCGTCTCATAACTTGGCCTGCTCTGCTCAAGATTCATTATCTACTGCTATGTTGTCCTGCTGGTGTTTCTAGCTTTGAGATACAGATTCTCATTACATGAAGCACAAGCCTTATATTGTTCAATTTTGTTTGTTAGGTGATGTTTATCAGTCCGCAGGATCAGTATTAGATGCGACATTTTTCAGCACCCTCATTTGCAGTCAAAAGTCTTTTTTATTTATTCAATACTATCACATAGTCTATTGTAAGGTGGTAGACAGCATATTGGTTGATGTAGTGTGACATCTGCTCAATGACCATTGGAGATGATGTTTTTTGAAGTTAGTATGATATCAGTGACGTACAATTCAAATGTTGTGGACAAGCAATTTTCTATTATCACTCTGCAGTTAACAACTTCAGTCATAATGATTTATAGGTCTTTAAAGGTCTCTACCCTGTATTATATAAATGGTGTTTTGCATGTTTTTTCACTTATTAATTGTAATCATCATATCCTGTTAGAAACTAATTGGGAAATAATGAATTTTTCATAGTGAATAATCTGAAGTCTGCTCTTTATAATGATGCTAAGTATATAGCAGTTTACTGTCTAAGACAATAGTGTACCATAACTAAAGTTAACAGCCTGTTTCACTTACTAAATTTTGTAACTATTAAATTCCACCGAGAAAACACAAATGTTATATACCAGATTATAGCTTACAATTTGCTCTATTTAGCCTAAAATCTGGAAAGAATAATATGCAATGGGGTGGAGATGCAAGTTTTTTAAGATTTAGAGCATAAACAGTTTAAAGGCTTGCTTTGGTGGATCCTCTGCAGATAAATCTCCTTAAAACAGTACATTTCCAGACTGTTGCGGTTCGACTGCTTTGCACTACTTACAGCATGTACATTGTACATGTATATGTACAGTATGCACTTATATTTTTTAATTTCTTCTTTTCTTTGCACAATGTACGTGCACATACAGTACATGCATGTACACTGTACTTGTTTATATTTTATTGACATTGTTTTAATATTTATTGCTTTGTAGGATGGCTGTTGGGCATGTATGACTAATGTGCATTTATTATGTAAAGAAAGTATATCAATATTATGTTCATTATTGAACAACATATTTGATAAATTAAAAGAAAGTAAAACCATAACTTCACTCAATACTGGAATGGAGGTAGGACAGAAAGTATTGTATGTACATTTTGTTTATTAAAAATTTATTTTTTTGCTACTTTTGTCTTACTCTCAACAGATGTTAAAGATCAATCCATCGATGTCTGTATTCCTCACTCATATTCCTTCTTGGTCTTTACCTACTAGTATAATAACTTTATTTCGTTCATTTTCATTTCCTTTACCTGATCATCATATCATATTAAGATGTTACTGTCTCTCACTTGGTTTGAAAGGATCTAAAATATTGATGCATAGACTGGAGACATTATTAACATTGATTGCAGATCAAATGTAAAAAGTTAATGCAAATATGTACATCAACATGCAACTGTACCTACAGTCCACTTTTAATTTTGTTCTTATGTACATAAAAATGTCCATGTATTAGTGTCTTTGCTCTGCAAATGATTAAATGCTTTATTATTAACTTCTTGCTAAGGTCACTAAAATAATATTTGACTAGCATTTACTTTACACGTAATGTATATAATTATGTACTACATGTACGCTGTACATGTAGTACATAATTTCATTGTGCATGCATACAATTGTGCATGTGTATATGCTATTGTATCTCCTTTAATTGATTTCCCTACATTAATTCTTTATAGTCCGTATCATGAAGTATACACTTTGACTCCGTTATTGTGCCATTCACTTGAATTAGCTATTAAAAGATCACATACCACTCCTCCTCCTCCTCTCCATCAAGCAATACCTAATGCTCCTGTCGGTAATAAACCAGATACCAACAGTACACCTCCTAATATGTCCAAGCATCAAACATTTGGTATGTTAAACTAAAAATTTACATTTTCCTATGGGGATCACTACTTGTACTTGTATGTACTGTACATGTACTGTATAGCTTTCATTATGCTATTTTTATTATTCCATTCTCTAAATGCCTTTGCCCTTTTTATATTTTAGCACGTTTGTATCAGAGAGCAGTACATAAAATTACTACTAGTAACATTATATCTCAGTCATTGAATGCAGCAACTATAAGAGAACACACCGTTGTAGCTGAAACTATTGCTGTATTATTAGGGGCTAGATTTACTAGTCAGGTAAGGAGAGACAATTAATGGAGGTACAAGTACACGTAGTAGTGAAATATGTGAGACTTCTACAGTAAATGTACATGTACAGTAACTTTACATATACAGTAAGTTTTCATATACAGTACATGTAGAAGATTGAATTTTCAGTTGTTGGTGTAGGCACATTTTATTGTACTACAAGTACACTGTACGTGTTTATATGTACAGGTATTATAATACATTTATAAATGAATGGCATTAAAAATTGGAAATATTAGGATTGAATTTGGACAAAAGTAAGAACGAGAGGGTGCTAGCAAACTGATGTAGTAAAAATTCTATACCACTGCGTGTTATTATCCTAAAGCATTGTAATTATCCACAAAGACTGAAGTACTAGTTTTTATAGGACTATGGAAGCCTTTTATGCATTGGTGTAGGATTTAATTCTTACCCACCAGTTTGCATGTACCCTTTTGTAATGTATCTTTACTTTTTTCCCAAGTTGATTCTACTCTTTTCCATTTTTTTAATGTTTTTTATTTGCTTGTTTGTACTTTTACTGTGTCTTATAACTGTAATCTCTTTCCCCCCCAGGAGTTGCCAGTATTTCGTTCAATTATAGAGAGTGTATTTTATGATTGTCCAGAGATCACTGCGAGGATCACATCTCCTGAAATTCATCATAATTTATCATCTTTCCTTCAGTCTACCTCTAGTTTTAAGAGTCAGTTATTGCTGTTGGAAGAACAAACTAAACTAAATGGACTGATGCCAATGAAGAACTGGATTAGAAAAACTGAACAAGTTTATATTACGAGTAAAACAAAACATGGTGAGATGAACATACGTACATGTTCATGTATGCAGTACATACATGTAATGCTTTGTTTATTGACTGTGGTAGAGGTTGCGCGATATCCTTTTACTTGTACATGTACAGTACATGCATATTATGGAGTGTATATATACACTCCATATGCATGTACTGTACATGTAAGATCCAGCAAGATCTTTTAAGATGTTTTATGATTTCACATGACATTACAAGAAAACGTAAGGTAGTAATTTTGTAAAATCTTGTCATAAAAGTTCTTACAAATTCTTGCTTTAAGATTTCATAAGATTTGAACAAGCTGTCAGATCTCTGTGATCTAACATGACTGTAATTTTTGTACGAATTTCAAAGATCTTATGAATAAAGGAATATGTCAGAAAATGTAAGATCATGCCTATAATTAAAATCTTGAAGTATCCCACATTGTGAACTTCATAAGAACTAACATGATTTTGTTAGCTTAAAATCTCATAAGGTCTTACAAAATCTCATAAGTTTATGGTCTTGAAAAATCTGTCATGATCTTATACTGTAAGATCTAAAAACACAGTATTTTGAGTCGTACAAGATCTTGAAAGATCTTACAAGTCATGTGACATCACAGGAGTAGTTGACAAGCCACGATAGCCTTAGCAGTAGTGGCAGCATATAAAGAAACTGAAGTTTTAATCACTTTTAATCAAAGCAATCAATGATGTTTACAGTGATATGTCACAACTTTATATTTTGCATTCATGCAATGTAAGATCTTGTCTATGTGTCTATGTGTAGATGTTACTGTTGCATTAACTTTTTAAAGAGCATTGTATGCTAAAATACCATGTAAGAACTTGACAAATATTATAAGATTTTGATAGCAAGATGTCATCATATCCTTCATGATCTTTGTTCCAAATTTCTGTGAGATCTTGTTATGATCTTATAAAAACTTGTTGCCAAGATCATGTTGGATCACAGTTAATTCTTAGTGTAATGATCATACAAGATCAAGTATTATCTTTGTTCCAAATACCAAGAAGATCTTGCAAGAAAAAACTATATAGGCCTTTTTACACTGGCACAGTTTTTAAAGCACTTTGATGTGCTTTGCTGATACAGCTGAAATAATGCACATTGATCTTGTTCACACTAGCAGCTGAATTATGTGTCATTTGTGTTCCTGTTGTCATTGGTTTACATTGATCAAAGCACATCACTTCACATCAATTGAACTAATGCACATTGCACATTAATCTTGTTCACACTTGAGTGGTTGCAAGTTAATGCACATCAATGTGCATCACTGTCACTTCACCTCCAGAGGTGGATTAATCCACCTCTGGAGGTGAAGTGAGAGTGATGCACATTGATGTGCATTAATTTGAAACCACTCTAGTGTGAACACGATTAATGTGCATCAATGCGCATTACTTTGGCCAGTGTGAAAAGGCCTTAAGATTCATGCATTATCTTGAAAAGAAATTATGTCAGATCTTGCTGGGAATTTTTACAAGGGTATGGTAGGTGTACATGTGATAGTACTTGTGGTTTTAAAATACATGCTCCATTTTATGTACGTATGTAATGAGCACTTATATGCATGTACAGGTACATGTACATGTAGTTTATAGTGAGCAAAGTTGTGCATTATGCATGCAGTACCGTAGATTTTTTATGTAAATTACATGTACGTGTGCTAAATTTATTATTAATTTTAATAAAGTACTATGCACTTAAAAATTTCATGAAAGACATACTGTATATGTATGTCCAACTGAGAAACACATTTTTGAAAATAATCTTTTATACACAAACTGTTGACATTTGTAGACTGTATGTGCATGTATATGTACATGTACATGTAGTGTAATGTATATGTTCATGTACACATGTACATGCACTTGTATTAGCATGACTTTCAATGAAAGTTGCAAGAGGTAGATGCTTGTCCCAAAATATTCATTGTTGAAAGAGTTTTGAACATGTTATGATGAATTATAGTTAATTATAACTACATGTGTGTACATGTTCATGTGCTGTATGTACATACAGTATATGCATTATCTTCAAGATACATGTATGTGCTTTTATGTGTTTGTATCAGGAATTTAACATATACTAATATTATTAACAAAAGTAAATGCATGCATAATAAATCCCTTGTTTTTTCTTTGCCCATTCTCTTTTTTTTTTTCGTAATATTTTTAACTGAATCATCATCATTTATCTCCTTCCTCTTTCCTCTCTACTACACTGTGTTGTATATTATAGCTCTGGTGTTATCAGGAAGAGAAGCTTCAGGAAAGACAAGCTCATTAAAGACAGTTATATCTACACTTAATTCAAAGGAGGGAGATAAAGAGTTGAAAACTGTGAGACTGCAGAAAGTGTATCCAAAAGTTTTTTTGGATCTATCTGAGGTGTTTGGATGCATGTCTGACACTGGTACATGGAGGGATGGAGTGTTTACTACACTAATAAGGAAGTCTATTAAAGTATGACTATAGTACATTATACATGTACATGTATTTTACTATACTTTGTGTTTGTGTGTACATGTACATATACATTTATATTAAAAATGAGAATGTAATATCCATGTACATTATACATGTACATGTATAATGTACATGGATATATATGTACAGTGGAACCTCCGAATAACGAAACTTTTGGGACACAAGAATCTTTTCATTACATAGAGGTTTTCATTAAAGGGAAGTTTTGTAAATGAGGCATCCCCAATATGAGACTTTACCTTCTTATAAAAATGAGTGGCAGTAGACAGCAGAGTAAGCTGGGTAACAAATTGCAGAACAAGAAAAAAGAATAAGATTGCAGAGTATGTTTTTAAATGAGGGAAAGGCTATTAAAGGCAATTTTCTGTGCTCCTGGATAGTAAGATGGCAAAATAAGAGTGACAGAGCATAATGTGAGGAGAAGAAAGACACTATTTTTACGGTGGGCGGGTCTCTTTTTAATTGATTATGATATTATATGATGTCATAAAACTAGTGCGCATGCGTGGCCACGCCCACGTTTCATTAAATGGAAGTAAAATGGCATCTTGGTCAGAAAAAACTTTCGTTATTTTGTAACAGAGGAGTTTTCGTTAAAGGGAGGTCAGTTTTCATTAAAAAACTGGGGAAATGAGTTGGTACATTAAATTTTTTTCATTATAAGGAGGTTTTCGTTAAAGAGAAGTTCCGTTATCAGAGGTTCCACTGTATATTGAAAATAAGAATGTAATATCCATGTACATTATACATGTACATGTACAGACACCTTATGTATTATTACAATTTTTATTTTAGGCAACACAAACTACAGTATGGATTTGTTTTGATGGTCCTTTGGTGGAAGATTGGTTTAATCATATTGGAGAACTACCACCTAATAAAGTAATCTTTTATGTCAATTAAGCTTTTTCTTTTACATTACTCAGTTTGTCACTTCCTTTTGTACACGTACACATGTACATGTATTTGTAATGTTTTAATTCTAATTTAGTTTATTTTAATTTTTATACAGTGTATAAGTCTTGGTAACGGTGAACATATACAGGTACATACTGATACTATTAAACTAGTTTTTGAAACTGGTCAGTTATCAAATGCATCTCCTTCAGCTCTTGTACACTGTGTAAGCACATTTCAATAACAAACTTTATTTTGCATATGATATGCATCTTGATATTGTTATTTTTATTGGTCCATAGGGTGTAGTGTGTTACGATTCACAAGTTTTGGGATGGAGGGCACTTGCTTCATCATGGCTTAAGAAAAGGAAGAGAAATGAATCAATGGTAACATGTGCATGTTGCACGTACATGTACATGTATATTGTACATTTTACATGTAAATGTACATGTAAGTGTACAAGGGAGACCTGGGTGTGTCATTGTGAAGTACAACCTATAGCTACATGTACCTATGAAATTTATTTTTAACAAATGCATGTAACTACATTTACGACTTACATGTACCTGTCTTGTTTATTATGAACCATTGTTCATAGTCATTCTATATGCATATCTAAGAAGCAGAAACTGTCAGAAACTTACAGAAATGATTCAGGAAGGGAACAGTCGAGCAGTCTTTGGAACCTTGTTCATGCTAACAAAAATAGTAGTAGTGCCCAGCATACTCAATGGACCATGGACGGACTAACCACAATGAAGAAGAAACACTCCTACAGTTTTAATGCCTTTCATTGTAAACAGGACGTGAAGTTTTTATTGTCTTCTACTGTACCTATGTGCATGTATATGTACATGTAAAACCTTTTAAAAGAGAAAGATAAAGGAATAACTTTATTATTATTACTATTATTGTTATCATCATCATTATTATTATTATTATTATTATTATTATTATTATCTTTTTTTTATTGTAGTGTCTGCAAAGGCTGTTTGAATCGTCAGTTGACAATGTTTCACATTTCATACTTAATAAATTAGAGTAAGAGAATGTTTGTGTGTGACTAAATAGTGTACATGTACAAGTACAAACAAAAAATTTAAAGAAACAAGATTGAGTAGGATTCCGATCGACCAACAAAAACACGAAATGAAAATCCTACTCTCATGACGCAAATTCTGCTCTACATTGTACTTTTAATGTTATTATTTAAAAGTTACGGATCACCTTGCAATGTAAAGTAGAATTTGCGTCACGAGAGTAGGATTTTCATTTTGTATTTTTGTTGGTCGTTCAGAATCCTACTCAATCTTGTTTTTTTAAATTTTTGTGTTCTTGTTTGTGTTGTTTTTTAATAATATTTATAACATTTCTTCAGTTACAATTGTGATACTTTCTGATTTTACGCAAACAATAAGTTTCTTTATTATTGTCATTGTTATGATTTTACAGCATTTATGAGGGACAGGACTGATTGAATTGAATAGATATGGTGAAGGAATATCTACTATACTGATGACAAGTGAAATGAATACTATAGTCTTGATGTGAATCCTTGTTCAAGAAGCTCTATCTTCCCAGCAATCCTGTAGCTATTCCTGCAGGTTCTTCCTGTTGTCCAGTTCATATTATCATTAGTATTATAATATTAATTAGTTGTTTTGTGTTTTTGAAATAAAATAATTCATTACACACTTGATATATGCAAGATTAATACCTTTTCTTAGCTGGAAACCTCCACTAAGTATTGTAATTTGATTCCAAGCATAGCTAGCTTATGACTATGTAAAAAATTACTTCGCTGTTCCCAGTTCTGAGATCTGAGCATGCGTGACCATGCTCAAATTTTGGATCCACATGCTTCTTTATTTAATGAACAAAATGGCGACATGAGGTGAGCTGGTGCGATTCAACAGTCACAGTATCACTTCTTCCTTTTTTTGGAGAATGATTCTAGGGGACAAGGACCTGCGCATACCCTGTTGGAGTAGAATGGTGTAAGAATTAGCCTTCTATTATGAGCCAAGATCGAGATAAAGACCGACAATTGGATTGACAGGACTAACTTGATGATGATGATGATGATGATGATGAAGATGAAAAAAGGTGGCTGAACAAAACGGCCGGTTTGCCGATTTTTGACTTTTTGCTTAGACAAGGTTTAGAGCCAGGCTAGTTGTACCATTGGAGTCCTCTGGTCAAGGTAAGGTCCTCTAAGAAGTCTTGTAAGCATAGAGCTCATTTTCCCGGTATAGCAAGGCTGTAATAGTAGTGGCAGCCATTTTGTTTGGGGGTGAATGCTACTTAGTAAGGCTGTCGCGTTACTAATACAATAGCGGCTATGATACAATAAACATGTACAAGTGTATATTGGTAGTTTTGTATGTAGTATGAGGAAATATTTGTAATTTTTTGTTTAGTTATCAAGGTAGAGAAACTGAGGTTGGTTTATTTCAATCTTGTCTTGGTTATCTCTCATCACTACTCAATGTAAGTTAATTAACAATTAGTGGATTCTAATTTATTTACTAATTGCATGTAATAGGCATATACAGATACGGCTGAGGTGTTCAGTGAGTTACATGTTGAAAGGATATTTTTATTTTCTTTGATATGGAGTTTTGGAGGTGTACTATTGAGAGACAGTGAACGAGAGAAATTCAGTCAATTATTGAGGCAGCATACCACTAGGTACGTGTACAGTACATGTATGCAACATGTATAGTACGAGGTACATGTACTAGCTTGTACATGTATGTGTATCTGTTTGCATACATGTACATTATAACTTGAATTTTTTGTCATGTATAACAGAAATAATGAAATTTTATGAACAAAAAGTCATTTTAACATGAAATGAAGATTTTGGCAAATTTTTGACAACATCAAAACTAGATTTACAGCAGAGCTCAAGGCCAAGTTAATACACTTACCTTATTTAAATGCTTACAAAACAGTACTGTTACTAGTATGGTTTGAAGTTCAGATTTTTGTGTATACTTAATAGAGATGTTTATATAGTAACATTATAACATGATACGCTACATGAGCATAGCATTGTACAGTAGAAACTGTAAACTAACATTAAACTAACCCAAAATGTTCAAGTATTATGTATACAGTAAGTGCTACGGTACGTACATACATGTACTTAATACATATGGGTATGTTACAGTACGTAATTGCATATTAAAGTTAACTTGGCCCTAATCTCTGCTGTAGTTATGGTACCGTAGGTCGGGATATATTCGCGGCTGCTTATTTTCGCGATAATAAAAACTAATAAAAAGGTTCAATTAAATACCATGGAAACCAATTGATTGTTGCTATGACAATAAGACCACGTGTTTATACAATTACAGTGTTCAGCAGCTAATTATCTATTCTTTAGCAGCTTTAGCGGGAGCCATCCAGTTCTCCATCTACTATCTATCTTGTATGGACCACTACCTTCGAGCTCTTTGCTACAAATCCTTGCCGCTCCACTTGCTGCACTGCACTGGTGATAATTAACCACGCCCAAGTTAATAAATGGGTGGGGAGTCCCAAGAATGCGCCATGATACGGCGAGGCAGAGTGAGGAGAGTAGCTCTGGTTAAAACAGCTCCAAAGAGACCCAAGATTAGTAAAACAAGAAGAACAACAACCCAAGAACACTGCAACAGAGTCCTTTGCTCTTAATATCGCGGCCTTTTCAATTAAAATTGCATCTGGTAACCATGGTAATTGCTGAGCGCGGGAAAAAAATCGCGAAAATAAGCAGCCGCGAATATATCCCGACCTACGGTATTACCGGTTGAATTCAATTGAGCTTAAGTACATATATGTACATGTACATGTAACTTGTTTAAACACAAACAATTTTTTAGATCCAAAGTTGACACATACACTGTACATACATGTACACATGTATTTTTAAGCACATGTGCGTGTACATGTATGATTTTTTACATAACGAAATGTACATGTACTTGTACTGTACATAATATACATATTATACATGTACATGTACATGAGTGTATAATGTATGTACATGTATATTTATTCATAGTTTACCAGATGATGATACAGAGTATTCAGTGTTTGATTACTATGTTGATGAGTCAGGAGAGTGGGATGTGTGGCAGAGCAAGTAAGTACATGCATGTAGTCTCACTCCGCCCCTTTGCTACTTTGCAGAGGTAGCGAATGGGTATGGCATGACTAGTAAGTACACAATGATGTACATGTACACATAGTTTATCTACATGTACACGTACGTGTATAACTTACTCATATGCTATATTACTGTAAGATCAAAGGCACTACCTGGTGGTATATTATGTATATACAGTGGAACCTCTGTATCATGGTCACCATTGGGAACTGGTCCTTTGGCTGTTATAGAGGGGTGGTCTTTATTGAGGGGTTTCAGTTTAAAGTGTATAACTTAAGGGATATTTAACTGTGTTGCCTTCTTAAGAAGGCAACACAGTTAAATCAAGATACTTAATTAAGTATCTTGATTCATTCCTCAGGTCAATAACAAGTACAAAGATTCTGCAGGTAGTATGTAAGAGGTAGCAGGAAAAATAAGCTAATTACTGCAAGAAGAAAGGGCATGATCAAGTTTTCAGCCATTTTATTTAGATGGGTGGGGCTACAGGTGACGTTTTATGATGAAAAAACATCCAGTCTAGGTGATGTGTGTGGCCACATGGCTGTTAAAGAGAAGTTTTTGTCAATGCTTTGTGCTGTGTGGGGGACGTTTTGAGTTCTCTGAATACGCAATAGAGAGGTGGTCATTCTTCAAGGGTTGCCTAAACAAGCAAGTGTAGTTTGTATTCGGACCTGGACATTTGGCCGTTATATGATAGACAGCCGTTATTTACAGGTGGTTGTTAACCGAGTTTTTACTGTACACCCTGCCCTTGATATACATTGCTGCGTTGTTTTGATGATATTCATAGTGGCACGTGGTGAAGAAATGGCCGTGGTACAGAAATGGAGATTAAGGTCAGAATCTTTTTTTCTTGGATGCAGCTCCTTTGCTCTGCTGGAGAAATGGTAAAATAACACCTTTTCCCCATTGAAGACAGTACAAAGTACATGTATGCCTCCATCATGGCGGCCAGAATAATTTTTTTATTTACCGTATCCAAATGAATATCATTAAAAAGTCTATGAATATCATGCATTTCATTTACCTAGATTTGTTGGATAAACATACCTATAATTGCTTCACTACCTCTCGTCGAAAGCTGGATTTTTATTACTACTTATTGAGGTTCTTTCTACCTTCTATATGCTTCTAAAGAAGCCTTTAGACAGTATCTTTATGTTCTTTTGCCCTTAAAAAGCTCATAACTTTGTTCCATTTGTAATCTGCCAATTTTAATGCCGTGGCCATGCACACTCATTTTATGTAAAGTATGTGGATGGTTGTTTGCTAAGACATATCAATTTTGTGACTGTGTTGCTCAAAACTTATAAGGTTTAAAACTTACGTGAATTTTAACGGGAATTTTACAGTTTAGGCTTCAAACACAAAAGTTTTGTATCATGAAAATTTATAGGGTGTGGTGTTGACCGTTATTAGCTATACCTTGAAGAAAAAAGACCAAGACCCTCTTGTGGGTCATGCTTTTATGATTGCCTGTATGATCTGTGAGTTCTCCCAAAGTGAAGCCATCTCAGAGTACATGTATATAGAGCTGCAAGCCACATTCTCAAATGCAATGGACCTGGACTGTTTGTGAAAGTTTTAATTGTGAATATCTCTCTTTCCACTCATTTGTAAAAGTTTTCAGCATTGAAAGTTTTGAACTACCTTAAGGAGATAATTATTAGCATGTACTTATTTTAGTGATTTTCATGGCACTGACATTTGGCTGGTACTTAATTTAGCGTTTTTGATCATTTGGTATTAATAACTACTAAACAATGTAAAACATTTGGGGCGAGCCTAAGCAAGCTATAGATTATGTGCTGTGATCTACATGTATGAGCAAGCAAAGCAATTGCACAAGTCTAAATACAGTATATCTTGTTGCATTAATCTTGCTCAAATGCTTCAAGCTTCATCACTGACTCTGCTCCAAAAATGTAAAGTTATCTAGGTTACAATTAGGAGCAGTCACTGAACAAAGAGATTGTCATCTGCTTTGTCTAAGTCTTTGGACAGCAGTTCAGTCTTATCTTGCTTACCGTTTGCTGCAAATAAGCTCAGAGTTGCTGTCAGCTGCCATTTTATTCATTGTGACCACACCCGCTTTCAATGAAGTAGAGTCTAATTAAAGTTAGCGTGGACTTAAATTAGCGATTTTTTAAAAATCGCTTAAATTTGCTAAATTAAATGCCCGCAAACAATTGTCTCCTTAAGGTATATGTTATTTCTCTAATGCAGCATGTATAGAAGAAATGTACTGTATAGCTAGAAAATTTGGTGGAGTAAACTGTTGGCAAATTCGGTGAATTGGGGTCCATTCGTGAAATTTTTAGTCTCCGATTTGATATGGTTCCATAAAAGCATGCACAGACGTAAAATTTTGCCAAAATTTTAACCTCCAAACCTCTTTTAGAGCCAATTCGCCGAATTGTAACAATTCGAATTTTTTTTAGCTATATGGTAAATGTAGATGTACAAATGTACTGTATGGAATTGGGGATATGTTTGTGACTTTTAATTTTTGTGATTTTATCCTGCACTCGTTTACCATGAGTACCATATGCAATTTTAAATCAAAAGCTGTGATATTAATGGCAAAGCACTATATGCTGCAGTGTTTTTTTGTTCTTTTTTTGTACTAATTTTTGGTGTCTTTGAGTTGCTTTAACCAGAGCTACTTTCCTCACTTTGTCTCTGTCTTGAAAGTCTCCACCCATTTAGATGTATGTTACATGTTGTTGTAATTGACTTGGTTGTGATATATCAACATTTTCAATACTCTTGTTAGTCCTTTTTTGCCAGTGTGATTGAAAAACTGGTACATTAAGTTTTGTAAATTTGCAACTAACACAAATTTGAACAATATCATAGTACATGTATATTGCAAAACATCAATTGTATCAGTATTTTTTTCACTCACAAAAATATTAAAATGTTGAAATAGTTATTAAAATCACAAAAATCAACATTGGTTTGAATACACTCTTCCTTTGAATATCATTGATGAGTAGTCATTTTTTGATGACACCTGCTGTACATGTACTGTAATCAAATGACGGTCATTGGCCTGGCAAATGATACTTGTTTTATTGGGTCACATGAGCTACTTTTCTATCCTGGTTCACAGTCTAATATCTATCACTATTCTTTGCTTGCTATATGCTTAACTGTAATCATTTTACTTTTTTACATGTAGTACTAGGCATGCCATTTGTGAACTTTTATTAAGAATTAAGTTTTGCAAATTGTTTTGTACATTGTAGTAGCTATTAGTGAGGTTGAATATTCACATTTTGCAAAATAGTGAAATACATGTACATGTGCACATGGACAAATAAAAATTCTGGGTGTTTATTTTGAGAAAAAACCATGAAAAAATTTCAAAATTGTATCCTTTTATGGAGTTATGTACAGGGTATTGTTTTATTGCATATACTTTGTAACAGGTTACCAGAGGAAAGGTGTCAAGGAGTTGATCTGTTAGGAAGAGTTTATGTAGAAACACCAACCACTGTAAGTTAGTTGTTATACATGTTGATAGTTTTCAATGTATTCTGTTGTTATTTTTCTTCCCTATCTGTATGTCAAACCTACATGTATCCTACATTTGTATTTTTGTCAATATGTAATAATTTTTCTTTTGTTAATAAGTTTTAATTGTTATTGTTATTGTTATTGATTATCAATTAATTATTAATGTTTTAGGTACGTATTGAGATGTTATTGGAATTGTCATTGACTGCAAAGAAACATGTACTATTAATTGGGCCTCATGCTAGTGGAAAAACTGTCATACTAGACCACTTTTTGTCTGCTAGAGGTAATAAAAGTAAAAGCAAAATTGTTATTATTTATTATTCTTATTTAATGTGTAGCTTTGCATTTTTTTAAAACTGAATCCGTTAAAAGATTTGTTAGTAATGGTAATACTGATTCTAGTGATCTTCAACAATTTATGAAAATTAATTTACACCATAGACAAGGTAAGTATCTGACAAGGCTTTTAGCAATATTTTATGGTACGTGTGATTTTTTATTGGACAATGGCACATTAGCATAGCCGTTAAAGTTGTTGTGAAGTACATGTAATTGCTACTGAGCATTTTTGATGTACATGTACATGTTACTAGATGATGCATCATTTACAAGTATATTTAAAGCATCTTCAAATTTTTTAGGTAAGAAAGAACAAGCGTAACAGTGTAAAAATATTCCTATAATTGTTTTCACCCCCTTGCAAGTACAGCTGGGTTCTTATTAACATTTATGAAGGTTCTCTCTACCTTCTAATGCTTCCAGAAAAGACTTTAGACAGTATGTCTATGTTCTTTCGCTGTTAGAAAGCTCATAACTTTGTCCCATGAGCAAGCTGCCATTTTTGTTTCTGTGACCACACCCACTTACGTAACATGGGCGGGTGGTTACTAAGGCTTGTTATTTCTCCAATACAACGCGTATAGAAGAAATGTAAGTGTGGACATACAAATAAATATATAAATAAATATAATAGATAGCGCGACGGTGAAATCCATTATAGGACGACCTGGGGGCGTAGCCTCCAGGTCGTAAAAAGTTGGTATAGAAGTGACTGTGGTGCTAGTGATTTCAAACATATTAGATAAAATACATTAGATAAAAATGCTGTATGGAATTAAGATTATACAGACCTTACGTGTACATTGTGTCATAGCCTTTTATCAATTGTTGTTGCTTGTAAATGTAAATGGTTTACTTATGTACATGTATATATGCATGTACATTTATCAGACAAGTAGTTTCATACAATGCATGTACGTGTGTACATGTATATATGCATATACATTTATCAGACAAGTAGTTTCATACAATGCATGTATGTGTATAGTATGTGTATTTTTGTGGTGACTGAGTGGCTATAATTTGCATTATATGCAACAAGTCTAATCATTCAGTAAATAATTTGCTGTTTTCATGAAATTTTTTTGTTAATATAAATGTAGCGTAACTGGTACATGTACACGTCATATACTCTACCCTATGTACATTGCACTTGTATGCGTGTGTTCTTACAGCCAAAATAATTTGTGGTTTATGCTACAAATATTGTACATGCATGACACATGTCATTATTTATTTGTTATTAATATTAGGATATACATATGGTCCATCAGATGGGCGTGGTCTTCATGTTTTATTAGATGATCTTCATTTACCAGATAATAATAATATTTCATTTTATGAGGTGCAGCGAAATACTTTTGTGTACTACATTAATTTGTGATATTTTTATTATAAATAGTATTTGAGAGAGTTAATTGATGATCAAGGCATGTATAATTTGGTTAAGTCAAATCAGTATGTAACAATTGAGGATGTACTGTTTTTTGGATCACTGTCTAGTGATAATGGGCCATACATTTTAAATCCAAGGCTTAAAGTATGTAATACCTACATGTTTGTTAGCTCAATGCACATTAATTTTTGAAATTTTTTTTCTCAGAGGCACTTTATTACAATACCTATTGATGAATTACATGACTCTGATTTATCTGAAATTGTTCCATTAGCATTAACAGTAAGTTAATTACCGTTACGTGTACTACACATTTATTATTTATTATTAGAATTTCACTTCTTTAATGACCTCGGTATCAAGTGATTTGTTTCAGTCTTTATCTGATGCATCGAGAGCACTATACAAGTGTGTTAGCACTGTATTTAAGAAGTCTGACACTCCTGGAAGACAACATTATTTCTTTTCTCTTAACTCACTTGAATCAGCACTACCAGTAAGTATCATTAATGCTGTTCTAAAATTAATGTTAAAACAGTGTTAAATGTACATGTATTAGTTATAACACAGTAGAGAGTGCTGTATGACCAATAATGTCATGAGGGATGGAGTTGAGACAGCTTTACTGCATGAGGGCACTCTATACTAGTCTGGTGCAGGGGTCTGGCTGTGCCAGACTACTCTTTACTGTGTTACTTTATGTGGGCTTTTGTAAAATAGTCTCCTGGAGGAGTTTTCTTTATAGTCTTTGATGTGTGATTGATGTTTAGAGAAAGGTAACACAGGCACTTATGAGCAAGGCTGTGTCTAGCAAGACAATTTATGCCATGTCACAAAACTTGATTGCTCAATGATCAATACGAGGCACCTATTGTGCATGGCCTCACTGCAATAGCTGTTTCATTATCAACATTAAAAGAACTTTGGCATGAAGAGAGTCTGCTGCAACATATGCATGTAGCTTCAGTTGCACTTGCCTTTGAATGCCTGCAGAAGTAGCAGCACCCACATGGCAAGCAGCTCCAGCTCCTCCCACGCGTGTAATTGAAAGGTGTGGCATATTACATCATCAACTGCATTGATGGCCAAGTGAGAAAGAAGCTTAACTTTTTCTTTACTAATCAACAATACATGTATATTACAAACTTGCTGACACAAAGTTGTTTCCTTTATATATTTGCGTTAGTTTTGACACTTTAGTACCATGAGCCTAGTAGGTTGTGGCTCCAGCGCTTCAAAAACTAGAACCAGGGCAACTATAACTCTTCATCAGGTAAGATTTAAAGAATTCAGTTCATATTTTTTCAAAGGCCATGTTCTAACGTACTGGAAAATGTTGCCAGCTATTTCTAGAGTGCCAACACAACAGAATCAGACTCAAATACTCAATTTTCTTACTTTGAAGCTTCTTGTACCTAGTGCTTATATTTGAGCAACACAAAACAGTTAAGGAAGACTTTTCTAGGCCAAAAAGAAAGTTCTAGGAGCTTGGAACACGCTGTGCTGAAGTTATAGTTTATTGAAAATAAAATTTGCTTGTACTGAATGAATGAATGATAGACAGACACAACAAGTACCTACACCTGGCGTAGGCGAGGGATATAATATCAACATAATGTGATCAAAATTGTATTAGATATGCACATGTACATGTACATACATGTATATAGAATGAGCTTTGTTTTAATGTTAATTTGCTTGTGATGCTTTAGTAGGTGAAAGCATGATGAATACACTGAATTTTAAGAATTATGTGACAAAGTTTTTAGAATGGTTGCAGCATCAGTTTGACACTTTATTGCAATTATTCAAGTGATTTGTGCTGTAACTTGTGACTATCTTTTTTAGGGCTTAGGATACTTGCCAAATTTATCTAACAATCAAGAGTTTGCTCATCTGTGGTCAAGTGAAATGAACAGAGTTTTTGGTCTCTCAATATGTCGTGAAGAAGACAAGAAATGGCTCCATGACACCATATCTGCCATTAGTATCAAATCATTTAAAATTGATGGAGAAAACTTGGTTGTTGATTCTCCAGTTTTATTTAGCAGTATAGCACCACATTCATCAGCTCAAAATAATTTATCTAATAAAATAACTCCATCACTTAATACAATGCCATCAGTTACATTATATTGTATTGATAAATGGAAGAGCATTGAAGAAACAATACATTATTATATTACAAGATATCAAGAGGAAGGATTGTCAACTGTGCCTATTAAATTAGAACTCTCTGATGATAATTTACATGTTATTGCATCATTGCACAGAGCAATAAAGCAAACCAGGTGCATACTTTTTTACTGTATGTCAGTCATACTCTAAGTCTAAGTACACTGTACATGTACATTTATATGTATTGTATATTTACTGATGTCACTTTCTCATTTTTAATCTTTTGTGTTTTGCTTGTCTTAGTGCTTTTTTTCTCACCTTAGTGCTCTCCTTTTTTTCTCTCCCACTATAGAGGTAATTGTATATTGGTTGGATCATTAGGACAACCTATACTTTCATTAGCTAAACTGGTGTTGTATATTTCTGATTATGACATTCATGTTTTACCTGATAATAATGATGGAGGTGGTGTTGGTAATGAATCATATTCTATTAATGATATCGTAAAGTCATTGTTTCGTTTGGCTGGCCTTGAAGGAAAACAAGTTGCACTCATTATAGAGGTAATACACACATGTACAGTACATGCGTACATGTAATACATAGGTGAAGTGGTGTGACTAGCAGGATAAGTCTTCTTAAAATACTTAAACAAGCTAGCAGTAGAAATTTTTTTAAATGCATGTGCTGTTCTAAACTGAAGGTGTGGCTTCTGGTTTGCAAGGCACCACCTATTTATATAATAGTAAATTTTTGGAAATAAAAATTTCACACATTTTGCCAATTCGCAAAAATTGCAAAATTTATTATCTATGAAATAATAATATGTGCTGTATGGTAGTATATGTAGTTTTATTGACATCAGTTTTCTGGTACATGTACATTATGGCTGCATTTGTATATATTCATCACCATTTACATAATTTTGTGTGATTTCATGTACTAATATATCTCATTTTCTCCCATAGGAGTGTCACTTACAGTCTCCTACAGTATTGAGTATATTAAATAGCTACATGTCATCCAGTGAGATACCTACATTATTTACTGCTGGAGAGATGTCTGGACTAATACAGGCACTACTTCCATCAATTAAAAGAGACTTTCCAAGTGAAATGATAGATCCTGAACAATACTTCACTGCTCGTGTTTGTCAGAATTTAAGGATTATAGTCTGTGTTACACCACATTGTAATATACTTACTGATAAAGCACAGTGAGTATGGTGGGAGAGAAAAGAGAGAAGTATTGAATGCAATTATGTGCAAATACTTGTAGTCATGTACAAATACCAATGTACATACATGTGTTGTGGGCAATATTGAGAATTTGATACCACCACAATACCCCAGGTCAGGATGTAATGACAGCTGCAATTATTTGCTTTAATAAAAATTCAATTTAAAACTTGGAAACAGTTAGAGCCTTCCTATGAAAATAAGACCATGTGTTTAGTATTAGCTATTCATCTACTTCTTCGCAGCTTAGTTGAGCCATTTATCAGTATGAACTCTCTCTTTCTGTTTGATCTTCTTGTATGGAGCTCTACCTCATAGCCCTTGCTGCAACTTGTTGCTTGTCCGTGTGCTGGCACAACCAAGTCTATAAACACTAACTCGATAGTCGATCCCATGATATGGCACAAGACAGGAGCTCTGAGAAGAACTGGTTAAGCAGCTCCAAAGAGACTAAGGGTTTGTAACACAAAGACAAAAACAAATCAAGAATACTGCAGCAAAGTGCTTTAATTGTTTCAATATTGAACCATTTTCAATTAGAATGGAATTTCTTTTTCATCGTTTTATTGGTTTTTTTTGACCACAAATAATTGCAGCCGTGAATATCATACTATCCCAACCTATAGTATATTATTTAAAAATGCTTCAGTATGACTAATAAAATTTCTGGTATTACTGCCATTTCTCCTGATATTTGAACCTCTAAATTCAGAAAATAAATATAATTTCAAATTTCCTACGATAATTCATTCTAAAAATTTGTTTTAATTATTATTGTTCCACGTGTTTCTAATTTCATCACTTACCTCTAAGTTCAATACAAGTGAAGGATACTCTGAATAGCCAGGTTAGCATATAGCTGGTTTTGTGTATTGACGAATCCCTCCATATTTGACAAAATAATTATTTGAAAAGCTTCAGAACTATTCTCCCTATACATTAAAAAAATTACAAATACATGTACAAAACTTGATGTGACAAATTTTTAGAGGAATTATGGTAATAACAACAATAATTATGTTAACTAATGTGTGCGTAATATAATTCTGAAGTGATATTCTGTTGTATGGATGGTAATGCATTCAATTGCAGGTCCTTTAGGTAGTTGTTTATTTACATTTCATGCTTTTTATGCATGCATGTACTTGCAGTAGTGTAACGATACCTAAAAATAAAACCTATTTTAATGTGCTGTTTTCCTTCAACTAAAATGGCACACTTGAAACTACTTAAATTATTGCAGTATAATTGAGAGGTCTAACCACTAATACCTGCTCTGTAACGTTGGTCAGGTCATTTGGTTCATTTATTTGTTCTTAATTGTGATGGTCTAATGGTCTTTATATTAACGGAAAGAGTTTGGTGGATAAAATTATAACTAAAACTTGAAGCATTGGAAGAATAAAACTAAAACTGAAACTAAAATGCAATTTTGAAGTGATGACAAGAACTAAAACTGAAATTATTACCATTGCATAACTAAAACTAAAACTGAAACTTAAAGAAATTGCAAACTAAAAATAAAATTATTTTGCCATACTAAAGCAACACTAACTTGCAGTTGCTATTACTACTATATAAGCATACATGTATGTCTGTGTAGTCAAATTAGTCAGCTGCAGGGTCTGTTTGTCACAAGCATAGAGGGTGAGGACCAATTTGTATTCCAAATTTGTCCTGAACTGTAAATTTTTTGTATTATGGAAATGAGTCACACTTTTATATTAAACTTTGCATTATCAGATTGCAGTAGTGCAAATGAGTCACAATGGCTTAAATTTTTATACTAACCTTTACTTTACCAGAAACTTTTGGCGTGCAGCTATAATAGAAGATGCTTGGGATTATATACATGTATGTTTTAAAAGAAGATCAGGCCAGAATTGTAGTTTTATTTTTTATCAATACTGTAATTCTAGTCTGGCTCAGCCTTTTGCAAGCAAACGAGCCCCACCCAACCATACAAGTTCAGAACAGATTTAGAGTATGGATTTATCTTGACCCTCCTTTTGTGGGAGGGTCAGTTACGTAAAATCAGTATTTTAACCACACATGATATTATTTCGATATGTTTTATGATGCTGCTTAAGTAAAATTGCCCAGTGTTATACATGTACATTTACATGTCATTGTCATGTATATTGTTATGCTTTTTATCTTCGTCATATACATGTACTCTGCTTCATGTATTCATGTACATGTACATGCATGTTCTTTTTCTCTGTGATTTTTCTTTCATCTTCTATTTTTAGTTATTATCAAGGTATGTTGCAGCAGTCACACATTATATGGATGGATGAGTGTAACATACAAACAATAAGACGTCAAACAGCATTCTTTCTAACGGACAGCCCCCTCTCAATGTGTATACCAGAGGAATATATGTCATTACTAATAGACAAAGTATCATTAATACATCATAATATGTTAATTAATACTGGATCAATGGACCAAACTGGACCATCGCTCCAATCAGCACCACTTGATATGGAGACCACCGAATCTTATTATTATTTATTAGAGAAGGTGAATATACTTCTTAGTAAAGGAGAAAGAGAGGTCCTACCCATACCATATGTTGGTCCTCTCTCCTTGAGGAATTTCCTTGAGTGTCTTTGCAGAATGTACAAAGAGAAAAGCGAACTTGTTTTTAAGGAAGAAAATAATTTAAAGTAAGTGGATTCAATATTTAAATTCATTTTTTTTCTATTTTATTAGAAAAGCATTGAGTACATTAACAAATGTACGTGAATCAGTTGATGATATGCAGGCTACACTGGATATATTGAAACATAAACTCTGTACAACCAGTGCACAGTCAACTGAACTATTGAAACAAGTTACTACCAAATCTTGCCAACTAGAAAGAACCAAAGCACTATTAGGTACTAAAAATTGTTGATGAAATTAATAATTAAATACTAATGCTAATAAAGCTTTGCATATACTAGAAACAATTGCACTATTATTCTATGGCATAGAAAATTGTGATGACTGTATGCATTGATTGTTTTATTGTTGTTATTGAATAAGCAAAAGAACAATGACAAAAACACTAACAAATTATATAACAAACAAATAGAGACAGAAAAATATGTGACCATAATTGACAAAAGGTACCTTATGGCGGGTAGTGAAATTTGTCTTTATAGCCAGAAAAATCCAACTTCCTGAGCTTAATTTATCATAAAATTACTCCACAAGATGCAAAAAGTTACTATGTAACTTTTAGACACAAGGCTTGTCCAATAGAGCACTCACAGGAAGATATTTTTCATTTTATTGATGAATTTTAAAATCCGCCATAAGGTACCTTTTGTCAATTATGGTCACATATAATTGTTAGTAACTTCATTGTTATTATATAGGCGGTAGCCTATATGTAGGATTGAGGTTGATTTTTCAAGATGGTGCCCGTTTTTATGATTTTCAAACACTCATAACTCTTTTATCTTACGTTGTACAGCCTTATAAATGGCTTAAATGAGCTCTCCTTCACTGAGTGATTCTCCTAGTACCTTTAAAGTGGACTGCACTGTAGCGGGAGCATTTCTAGAGAATAGTCCCAAATTCAAATTTCTGCAAAATTCTTCAGACTTTTTCTTCTTCTTCTTCTTTCTTCTTCTTCTATCAACACGGAAATCTTTTAAGCCAGACAACCGCTCAAGTTGGCTTTTACATCGTTCCTTTGAGCTTCGGTCAAGGACTAGACATGTGGCTTCAAAAAGAAGCAAGGACAGAGAACAATGGAAGACAAATTCCAGCTGCAGCACCGTGTGGGTTTGTGGTTTGACGCCATTTTAATTTATGCGCACGTGATCAGCATAAATATGATTAACCTAACCACATAATTATAACAGAAAGTAATTTTATTGATTTAAGAAAAAAGAATGGAAACAAGTAAATAAAAACATTAAAAATGGAAAAGTAGTAGGATTAAATTGGAAAAAAGTAAAAAACAAGAGGGTACTTACAAAGTGGTGTGATAACAAATCCTACACCATTGCATGAAAGACATGGCTTCATAGTTATCATGTAGTAGCCTGTGTGGATAATTACAATGCTTTTGGGTAATATTCTTCATGCAGTGGTGTATGATTTGTTATCACACCACTTTGTAAGCACCCTCTTGTTTTTTACTTTTTTTCAATTTAATCCTACTACATGTACTTTTCCATTTTTAATTTTTTTATTTACTTGTTATTATTTATTATTATTATAAAACACAAAGAGACAAAAAGCACAATACAACAGAGTGCACAAGAAAAGAAAAGGACATCATTGTTCTTATTATTAACATTATTGTGAGAGGCAAGGGAGAGAGGGAGATGGAAAAGCCGAAAATACCAAAACAACGAAAGACAGCAACTGTAATGGAGAATCCCTTAAAGTGAACCGTCAATGTGGGATTAAAGAGAGGACTTCTGGGCAACCAAAAAGCAGCAATGCCTCTTCAGAAAGAGACTGAGAGGCGCTTGAAAAAAATGGGAGTAAGTGACAGATGGTTGTGACCAATACACCCACCTAACCGACGACCAATAGAACGGATAATAGGAACAGCTAAAATGCTCTAATTTCCTAAGACTTCAACAGCCATATCAGCATACAGGTGGTGGAGATACCCACAAATTATCCTAACTCCGCCATTCTTATTCGTAGCCAGCAGACTGGTCCCAAAATAATGATGCACAAGGCAACCTCACCCTTGAGTACTAGATTAGATATTGAGGCCAAGGCAGAATGCAAGTAAGAAAGATGTGCCTCTGAAAGCTCAGAATGTCCTTTAAATGCTGGGGTCTTAGCCCACCAGCAGACCCGCATGGGAAAGGATGTATAGCACCAGTTACTTCTACTTTACTTACACAAGCATGATATTTGGCTTGAGAAACAGTAGGAGGATTAAAATCACCAGGGAAGGGGGCATGCTAATTGTCACAAACAATACTAGAGTTGAAAGATGCAGTACATATGGCCCTGCTAAAGTCTTCTTTCTTCTGGCATTTTAACACTGCTTTTCTCAAGCAATCATGCAGAGCTTCATGTACATGTAGGAGGAGGACTGTCATGCTACCGAGGTCAAAACTGGCAGAGAAGAGAAAGAGGACCAGAATGTAAAGAAAACTGCTTGTTGAGTTGAGTAGTTAAGGATTACCAGTTTTTGTGTAGGATTGATGCCATGGAGCAAATGAAAGCATCTTATAACGATAAAGAATTAACATGGACCGCCTCTTCTACTTGAGAACTAAAGGAGGTGGCTGTCTGGCAGCAAGAGGCTTTTAGAAGATGGTTATTATTTGCAAGCTAGGCTGGAGAGGCACTGCATGGCCAGGAAGGTGAACCATCTCTTGGGGGACACCATGTGTTGAAGCATGTAACAATAAAAATACTGAGAAATGCCCCAACCATATAATAAGAGTCTGGACATTGATTGGAACAGGGCCATGAAACCTAAGAATGCCAAAGCAGAAACGACAGGAACCTGCATGTATGGCAAACAAGGCACTCTGCTTTTTGATCCACCATACCGTATACCGGTTTATTTTTATGGTAAAATATTTTCACAAATTTCACGGGTTTGTGATCATTCGCAAAAATATTTCACCACGGAAATTCTGCTCTCCATTGCCACGTTGTGCTGTCTGTAAGCAATTCTCAAAAACTTAATTCCTCAAAATCTTAGAAATTTGAGATTTGCGAAAATTTTCCACCGTGAAAATAAATCGGTATACGGTATCAGTTACTGCTATTTTATTTGTTATTATTATTACTATTATTATTATTGTTATTGGTATTATTCTTATTTTGCAGGTACAGGAGGCCCAGTGTTAAGTGCTATGAGAATGGTGTCAGAACAAAAAAGATTATTAACAGAAAACGAAGAAGACGATCAGGAGCTACTTGCAGTATTTTTTAATCAACTGCCAAATAAAAGTACAAGAATAGAAATGTTAATGGAGAGAGCAAAAGAGAAACTTAAGATAGCAGAGAGAGAGGAGAGAGAAACAAGAAAAGCCATGGCAAGAACTAAAGAGCAGGTCAGACAAAAATATAAACTAAAGCACACACGTGTACACATTTGTATTCATACAGACAGTACATGTATGTGCATGATTTTGTATGTGTGCATTATTCATACAGTGCTTGCAGTACTTTGTGGGTACATTTATAGTAGTGTTTTTTAAATGTATGTGCATTTGTTTCAGTATAAGGTAATCCAATGATTTGTGTGGGTTAAATGCATGTATGTGTACATGTACATTTACATGTACATGTATGCCTGAGGAATTACATTTAAATTCATGTATCACATACAAATAGTCTAGAGTAAAATATGCTGTACATATACATGTACATGTATGTGTATCATAATGTCAGCCTTTTGCATTATTAATACTACTGACACTACTACAACAAACAAGCGTAACAGTGTAAAGATATTCTTATAATTGTTTTCACCACCTTTCATGCGTAGCTGGGCACATATTAAAACTTATAGAGGTTCTCTCTACCTTCCAATGCTTCTAGAGAAGTCTTTAGAGAGTACCTCTATGTTCTCTCGGTGTTATCCTTTATGTAAACCCAGGAAAAAAATCTTACTAAGATCTTGAATAATCTGATCAGATGAGATAAGATGAGATAAGGTGAGATAAGAGTTAAGAACAACCTTATAAGATCTTATTTGGATTTAGTCTGATCGATCTTAGCTATCATATACAGGCATAGTCTTACCTAAGATCTTACAAGAATTATCTTATAATATCACTGATCAGATTTAAAGGCTGGATC